CCCAAAGAGGTGCAAAATGCTTCAAATCCTGAACCGCAGGGCTCCACGGTCAAACGGGCTCAACTAAGTTGGCCTCTTTTCATCTTTCCCAATGTGGCCAACCTGCTTACCCCTTCATTTAGGTTGGGTTCAAGGTGGTTTAGTGGTTAGGCTGGGTTTAGGTTGGGCTTAGGGTTTACGGGGTTCAAGGTAGAATCAAGGTGGGTTCGGGGTGGATTTGGGGTTTGTGGGGTGGGCTGTTTCGGGTAGGTTTGGAGTAGGTTTAGGGGTGGGTTTGGGGTAGGTGTTTGGGCGAGTTTTGGGCAGGTTTAGGGTATGTCCAGCGTACGTTTGGGGTATGTTGTTTAGGGTTTCGGGTGCGGTTTAGGGCGGGTTTAAGGTGAGTTTCAGGTATGCGGGGGTAGTTGGCTTAGGGTGCGTTTTAGGGCGCTCGCTTGTCAGGATTGGCTTAAGATGTCTTAAGGGTACTGCCCCCCGACATGGCAAAACCGATGCCAAGGGTTCAGTCTCAGTTCACCCGATTGAAGGCCCTGGGACCTCCCTGAAACAATTCGGAGAGTGCCGCCCATTGCTCTTTCTCGGCCAATTGGGAAGGGGCCCCCCAATGCACAAATCTTGAGGTTACCTTTTTTGGGGTCGTCAGGTTGTTTTGGACCCATCCTTCCTCAGCTATCCGTGCCTCTTGAAGGGCTGTAGCCCGTGCCGTGCGTGAGGAGAGCCGCAGCCCTTTGCGCTCTGGCGGCTGGCTGTTGACGCCGTTTTCCTCGCCATTGGCACGAAGGGCCGGGCCCAACAACCCGAATGCAGGAGTGATATGATGGAAGTCTTTGAATCAGAATGCTTAAATTTGTGTTCATTATATATATATATATATATTCTCATTCACATGTTTCTCATTCACATTGCTTCGTTTGCTGCTCTCTTTTTTTGTTATCTTCATGTTTTCTCTATTTATTGTTGAGATTGTTAACGTTTCTCCCTCCTCTTTATCTCTTTATCATTGCATTTCGATTTTACAGGATCTTATTCCCACTGAAACGGTGGACGAAAGTACAGAAAAGAGAAAGAGAAAGGTGCCGTGGAAAGCGGCGGCTTGATTAAACATGTTCAAATCACAAAACTGTGTAGAAAATTGGTTCCCCTCTAAAAAAGACAAGGGGTTGTTAGTCTACAGGGCTCATCGGGCTGACAATAGTGGACCAAACTGAAGCCAGCGGAATCCATCAGTTTTCAGCAACCGTGGGGACATGGCGACGGGCTCGAAAGGCAGTTGCCCATCAAGGAGGCAGTTTGGAGGGTATAGGGGCTGACATCTTAGCAGCCCTAGCAAAATCGCATGCGCACGCATAGCTATCTTGTTGTGAATCCTCCCATTGGGCGAATTGCCTCTGCTCAATGGCCTCTGACATGGACGCCGGAAGGATAAGGCTTTTGTGGGTTTTCCCTGTTGGTGACAAGAGTTTATCTCAAGGACGTGTCAACCCCCCCTTCCCCCGCACAGGGACAATTCTTCAAGCCGACTTTCGCGGGCCGGGTCTGCAAGCGACTCGGCATTTTTTTGATCCAGCATATACTTGCCTGGCGTTGTCGGCCAGCAGCTTGCAGTGTGCCCATTCAATTTACATCATTTACCAGGCTTGTAACGCACTCTCAAGAAGATAAGCAAGCTGACAAAAGTCAAAACACATGTCCAGGTGGGAACCCCTGGGGCGATCGATCATCAGATAGAATAGCAAAAAAGGCCCAATAGCAAGGGTCAGGTGCCTTGTCAAGGTCGGACTGTCCAAATACTGTTTAACCTGCAAGTTGGTCAAACAATAGTTCTGTTGTGAGTCCTTTCGGGCGAACATACGGGTCCACTGCCCCCTTTGACATTCTTACAAACACCTTGACTCCCTTTTTTCCTCCGGCCTCGTCCTTCTTGCTGTTCCTGGAGGTCCTGCTGGTCCTCAGAAAGGCATGGACCGTTTTTTGTTGAGTGGGTTGGCCAAATGCAGTCCAAACTTGTTGTTTGGCACTAAACTAGTCTTTTCCAGAACTCAGGGAGTGGGAATTGCTTCAGCACTCCGAGTCATGGATGCCTCGGTTACAGAGATCTTTGCAAAGGCTTTTGGTGAGAATCATGAAGCCCAGAATGCAGCCACAACTAGATTTTGCTTGATCTCTGGATCCGTAGCTGGTTGTTTGTCTATGACCCACCCACCCCAGGTTCCTACAAGAACCACATGTTTCAGGGACCTCCGGGCCTCCAGCCAGGTTCCCACATGGGGATGCTTTTGAACGGAGTCTGCTGAAATGGCAGTGGATCCATTCCAACCCATGGATTCTAATAGCTCACCGGCCCAACATAAGAGAGACCCCGGAAAAAAAGCAGGACCGGCAGAACCTGGGTCCAATAAACTGACATCCTCAAGACTACGCTCTTTTCTGTGGGTTTGAAGGAGCTTCCGATCTTCGCAGAACCATTGCCAACCCTTCAAAATGCTGGGGACACCCTATTTCCGGCTGAATCAACCATCATTCTAGTGGTTCAATTGAGGAAGTCCGGCCATGACTATGGGAATCAGAGGTGTTCATCTTCCAATACTTTGAACATCCAGAAAGGACCATTTGCCATGGAAAAAACACTTGCTCACTTTCCACTTGGAACTTTTCAAGGACCAAATTTGCCAAGGGAGGTCATGAAAACAACCGCAGTCAAGCTTCCACTTGAAATCTTAAAGGGACCATGTGAAGACAATTGGCGACCTTGCTCTATTGCTTCAAATCCTTCAACACTCTCAAAACGGTCAGTAGGTCACTTAGTGCAGCAAAAATTCCGTCACTTAGTGCAATCAGAACCCAAGTGTTAAACAGGTTACTTAGTGCAGCAAAACACCCATCACTTAGTGCAATCAAAATCCAGGTGTTAAACCGATCAATTCAATAAAATCAACGAGCCCAATGCGCTCAATGGGCTCAACAAGCCCAACGCGCTCAATAGGCCCAACGGCCTCAACAGGCCCAAGCTCCCAGCGGGCCCACAAGCCCAACGGGCCCAACCGGCTCAATGTGCTCAACGAGCCCAACGGGCTCAAAGGGCCTACGTTGCGTTACATTACATTACAAAGAGATATTACATACATAGCATTACCCACATAACATAACATAACAAAAACATAATATAGCATGCACATACATACACACATACACACATACATGCATACAATAAATTACATTACATGCATAAATTGTGTAACATTATATATAATACACACATTACATTACATTAACACATACACACACTAATAATGCATGCATGCATACAAGCATATATACATACAAATATACGTACATACATACATACATACATAGCACAACATACATACATACATAACATAACATAACATACATGTATTTATACATACATACACACACATACATACAACATTGCATACATACATACGTACATAACATACATAACATACATAACATACATAACATTCATAACATACATACACGCATACACGACATTACATTACATTACATACATAACACTGCACACTACATACATACATACATAACATACATACATACATACACGCATACACATACATACATACATACATACATTAAATTACATTACACGCATGAACTGTATTGCGTTACACATGTTACACACGTTACATTACACTAACACACACATACATGCATGCATGCATACAGACATACATACATACATACAAACACATCTAAGTACATACATACATACATACCATAACACACATTACATACATACATTCATACATACATACATACACAACACAACACAACACAGCACACATACATACATAACAAAACAAAACATACCTACCATACATACATACATACATACATACATAACATACATACTTCGTACATAGCATACAAAACATACATAACATACATACACGCATACACGACATTACATTACATTACATACATAACACTGCACACTACATACATACATACATAACATACATACATACATACACGCATACACATACATACATACATACATTAAATTACATTACACGCATGAACTGTATTGCGCTACACATGTTACACACGTTACATTACACTAACACACACATACATGCATGCATGCATACAAACATACATACATACATACACACACATATACGTACATACATACATACATACCATAACACACATTACATACATACATTCATACATACATACATACACAACACAACACAACACAGCACAGCACAACACAACACAACACAACACACATACATACATACATACATACATACGTACGTACGTACGTACGTACGTACACACACACATACATACACACACACACATACATACATAACAAAACAAAACATACCATACATACATACATACATACATACACGCATACATCACATTACATTACATTACAAAACATACATAACACTACACACATAATAACATAACATAACATAATCTAACATAACATAACATAACACGGCAAAAACACAACATAACATAACATAACATACATATATACATGAGATTACCCCACATTCCTTGTTCCAAAAACGGTCTTCCGCACCGCCCTTCCGCGAACTTCCGCGACGCAGGTAAAACCACACTTTTTGGCACGTGTCTATACACATGTAAGTTCTTGTAAAGAAAAATTAAAGCGAGCCAAGACGAAGAGCCAGAGCATGGGGCTTGGCGGTCCGAACGGGCTCAGCGGGCCTAACAAGCTCAACAGGCCCAACGGGCCCAACGGGCACAGCGGGCTCAAAGGTCCCAATGGGCCCAGCCCCAACAGGCCCAACAAGCCCAACAGGCCCGACGGGCTGAACGGGCCCAGCAGCCCAACGGGGGCAACGGCCCCAGCGGGCCTAACAAGCTCAACAGGCCCAACGGGCTCAACGGGCCCAACAGGACCAACGAGCTCAATGGGCTCAGCGGGCCTACGCTGCGTTACATTACATTACATACATACACTACATACATAGCATTACCCACATACCATAACATAACATAACATAACATGCACACATTACAAACATACATACATGCATACATAAATTACATATATTACATATATTACATATATTAAACACATACATACATACATACATACACACACATACATACACACACATACATTAGACTACATGACACACATGAACTGAGTTACATTACATATTTTACACATGGCATTACATTAACACATGCACACACTGATACATGCATGCATGCATGCATGCATACAAACATACATACATACATACCTACATGCAAATATACGTACATACATACATACATACATACGTACATACATACATAGCATAACATCCGTACATACATACATACCATAACATACATTACATACATTACTTACTTACATACATACATACATCGTACGTACATACATACATACATACATACAGACATACAGACATACACGCACACATACATACACACACATATTACATACATTACATACATACATGCATAGCACACATACATACGTACATAGCATACATAACATACATAACATACATACACGCATACATCACATTACATTACATCACATTACATTACATTACACTACATTACATACATACATACATAACACTACAAACATAACAACATAAAATAACCTAACATAACATAACATAACACAGCATAAAATAGCATAACAATACAAAACATACATATATACATGAGAGTTTACCCCACATTCCTTGTTCCAAAAACGGTCTTCCGCACCGCCCTTCCGCGAACCTTCCGCGAACTTCCGCGACGCAGGTAAAACCACACTTTTTGGCACGTGTCTATACGCATGTAAGTTCTTGTAAAGAAAAATTAAAGCGAGCCAAGACGAAGAGCCAGAGCATGGGGCTTGGCGGCCCGAACGGGCTCAGCGGGCCTAACAAGCTCAACAGGCCCAACGGGCCCAACGGGCTCAAGCCCAACGCAGGCCCAACGGGCACAGCGGGCTCAACGTCCCAACGGGCCCAGCGGTCCCAACAGCCCCAACGGGCCCAACAAGCCCAACAGCCCCAACAGGCCCAACAAACCCAACAGGCCCGACGGGCTCAACGGGCCACACGGGCTCAACGGGCCCGTGAAGGTGAAAGTGACTGCCGCACTAAGCGACAGGATTTGCGCCGCACTAAGCGACAGGATTTGGACCGCACGGAGCGACCGCCTGACCCTCAAAACACACAGGTCATGCTGAAGAAAGTGACCCCTAAATTCCTGTATGTTTACATCCCGAAACATTTGCTGTGCAAGAGAATCAATCCTCTAAATCAGAAGATGGTCAAAGTGATTTTTGGAAAGGCCCCAGCTCTCCTTCAAGGGAATCCAGGTGCGACTCGAGCCGGCTCGGTCCTGGGCACTGGCCCCAGCTCCACGGACCCCGCCGGCGAGTCCCGGTTCGGTGGCGAGCTGCCTGGCCCCAGCAAGCCATCGCCGTCCTCGGCCCGAGTCAAAAGGGTCTGACTTCCCATCGTCTGACCCAAGTCAAGTCTGCAAGGGTTTCAACGAATGGATCTGGAGTAAGGTGACGCGAATCAACGTGCCTTCAAGGCCTTTCGGCGAACACCAACCTTGGTCCATGCACCTGGCAAACCATCGTTCCAACACACGAACGACGCCTACACTATGCCAGCATAGAGGCGAAAAGCAGCGCTAGACACAGTGTGGGGGAGGGGGGTACCCATGCTGGCAGGAGGAAGAATGCAGCAAACGCAGGCACACGCGCACGCATGCTTGGATTCAAGCCCTGGAAGCAACAAGAGAAGGGGACTCCTGCCAAACATGGGCTCCCGACAAACAAACAGTACCACCCTCTGTTGTTTTCAAACGTGCATCGTGGATTTTGTGCGCAACATGTTCCAATCCGATGCTTTTTATCTGAATCCAATTCGGGCACAGCACCTTGCGGCGTTTTTGCGGGGCCAACAGGTGGCCGAGATCTCATGGCTCTAGGCCCAGGAGCCCATGAGATGGCGAACCAAAAAAACAAAACAACTTACGGCCCACACGGCCCTAGCCCCGGCTGCCGGCCTGCAGCGCCGGCGAGCGCAATTCTCCCTTGGCATTTGGTGGCCTCAGTGCAGCTCCGAAGGTAAGGGGCCCGTTTTGGGTGGAGCGGTTTTAAATTTTGCCGATTTGCCTTAAGCAAGGACCCCCAGAGCCAATAGACATAAAACAACTAAAACAAAGCCCATGTAAAAAACACAAAAACAAAAAACGGGGGCCCCTTGCCTGTTGAAAGACTTGCAGCTGCGCGTCGGCTTGACTTGCGCAGGAGGTGGGGCCTCTGGACTCGCGGGCCTCGGTCAGACCGCCGGAAGGCTCAAAGGGGTTTGCCTCAAGAAAATTAGAACTGGAGGGAACTCCCAAACTGGGCCGGAAAATTCTGGAAAATTCTGGAAAGCAACATTGAAATGGGTATCCTCAACATAAAAAGGTCACACCCAAAACGAGCTGGACCCTGGGAACGCAAAGCGCTCTCCTCCAAATCCACGCGTTTCAAGGTTTACACTTGGGGCCCTCCCAGGCATTGTGCAGTTCCTCAGGTTTCACTGGTACGAGCAAGGCTCAGGCGCCAAACAAATGACCTAAAAATGAAGTCCAGATTCCCAGCTGGCAACCACAAGGTCGGGACTCACTTTAGGCAGCAGTAATAAACCAACATGAAGCCATTGACAGTGGCGTTTTGTGGTGACAAGGCCCCCAACAAAAACACCCACATGTTGCGAAAGACGTATAGAGGGTCTGAAGCGTTTGACGAGGACCATCATTGTCTTGCGGGTTTATGTCCGCCAACCATGTTGAGGGGGATTTATAGCCGGCCAAGAACCCCACTCTTAACTGGAACAGAACATGTAGCATTGCAACTCCGGGCCATATGGGTGTGTGTGGGTTGTTGTCACCTTTACATCATCAGGGAACCCTCTCATTCTCGGGGTCCATCTTCAGGCAATATGAATCAATGAGCCTGTCGTCTGTCATGTTGATTTCCCGCCTAGCCGGTGTTTGCCAGTGCAAAGCAGGCCTCAACTATTGGCTCACTGGTTTCGGTTCAAGCACAGGCTGCATTCCATCTTTGTGAAGCTCATGGCTTCGTGGCAACCTATGCGGGACCTATGCGAGACGAAAACTCTTCCTTGCAATCTTTTGAGCTGAGCCACACGACAGCATCTGGCTCAGCCCAGTTGCCGATCACCACTTGCGGCCTATCAGGAGAGACGTTGTATGAGTTAAACAGCTCTTCTCAGCCATCTGGACACTGCCAGCCAAGGTTTGCCAAACTCACCCACGAACCCCTGACAAACAGCATCCTTTGGATCTTGCGCCGCCATCCAAAAGGGGCCCAACCAAGGTCACCCAACACGATCCGTCCCGCTTGTCCATGTGAGTCATGGGTCACAGGAGTCACAACAAAACAGCATCCGCATGTCTAAAACACATGCCTCCCAAAAACATGTAAGGAATTAAACGGTGCCCTCCCTTGATGGTTGGAATGACCCCACTACCCTCTACTTGCCCTCATCTCATTTTTTTTGCCCCTTTGCTCTCGATGCTTTTTGTGGGGGGGGGCTGGCCAGGTCTTCTTTTCGGGACAGGAAGAAAGTTCTCAGCAGAAGAAACACACCACACGGGACATGTCAAGCCAAAACCAATCTCAGATGTTTGGCCTGGCTGCCCCAAAGCTCAAAGGGAAAGCAAAGCAAAGCTTACTATGGCAAAGGAACCAGGAGGCAGCACTACAAATCCCACCCATTTTGCAAGATCAATCCATTGCTTGAGGAGGGCTTACTAAAAGAAGCTGTCACTGATGACAAGCTCCAGGGCAACAACCAACTAGGAACTGTGCCCTGGATCAACAGTCAGAGTCAAAACAATGGTCCAGCTGACTTGGTGGCGAAAGCTGCACTGCAATCAACTAATGAAGCAAGCAATCGACCAACCCGACCAACCCTCCAAGAAGCCAGCCAGCCAGCCTGGCTTCAGAGCACTCAACAAGAGATTGAGCTGACCAATCTGGAATATATGCTTAATTATCTTAATTACCTGCAAACACTGTTGAACGGTGCCACAGTTCTGCTAGTTCAGGAGCGAGCCAAGGCTTGCGCAATCGCCGGCCCGCCACCTTGCCTTTCACATGAATCAGACGCGCAGTTCCTGCGCCAGGGGACCACTTGCGTTGTCTTGGATCCGAAGCAGATTGACAAATCCAAGCCCTGAGACAAGGCATCTTCACGTCAAGAAACTTCACCATGGGTGAGCTTGTTTCATCCCTAGGACCTGTGGATGAAGACTCAAGCATCGTCAGGGAAGGAGCATCCTTTCCCTTGTCCCATGCTAGCTTCCTCATGTGCAACGTGCAGGTGACCCCCAAGCAGACTGGCAAACTTGGATCCGGTGACAATCTAGGATGTGTGGCCCGGAAAGTCACACTTCCCTTTTGGCCCTAAACCTGCACAACCTTGGCAACAAGCAACCGAAAGCTCAACGCAATCCCGTGAAAGCGTCCCGTCCTTTGGCGCTGGTAGTCTCGATCTACCAATGCTTCCAGACGAGTGTTGAACACCATGATCAGGCAGTACCTCGAGGCAAGCGCAGTGGGCTGAGGGCAGCTCCAGGGATCTTCTGGGTTTATCTATGGGGACAGCTCCACGGCTTGGTATTGGCTTTCCTTCAAAACTCCTACACACGCACATCTTCTTTGCAAGTGCCGCGCAAGCGAGCCCATACAAGGGGCTCTTAGTGCTCTTTCTGTTGGCTGCACAATGCCACTCACGTCGTGATCCATCAAGTCCGACAACCAACTAGGAACCTCATCCTGCAGCCTTGGCACCCGAGGTAGGCGATGAACAGAACCACGGCCTGAAATAATGCACAGCTTCAATTGGCACGCGGCCCATCGCGTGTTGTAAGGGAGTCCTTTGATGGGGGCAATCCAGTGATACTCTCATCAGAAAGGGGCTGCCCGCGTGTTTCTTCCGAGCCATTCTGCTCAGGACATTTGACGGGCTTTGGCCGAGTAGTAGTATAGGCTGTATAAGCAATCAACTCGCGCCTCTACCAAAGAAATCTTCTCGTCGGAGGCAAAGCCTCAGCAAAAGAGCAGTTGAAACAAATCGGCTGCATATGGCTGCCTGCTGGCGCGCGCACCCACTCCAATCCCGGGAGCCAAACCATGCAAGAAAGAGGTTGAACCGCAGCACGGCTTCAACTATTTCTGTCATCATGGGTCTCTAGAAACGTTGCTTCTTTCCGCGCATGGGACCTACTGTCTTTGAGCTGGATAGGTCGGAAGGCGATAAACACCCAACTCCATGCACTCAGTTGTGATGCTTGGAAGGACCACGGAAGGGTGTCGAGATGAGCCGAACCTTGGACCACTTCGGCTTCCACTTTCGATGTGCGTGCCACCGACTCTCTGACGCGGCCAAACAAAATTCAGCCAAGATGCCAGCCAGTAGGGCCAGCCCAAAGACATAGTAGGAGCAGTCTCCTCAAAACCGTCTCAACCAGGCCACCGCACGACACGGCATGCTTCATTGCGACAGCCCTGAATGCCTCGATCGAGAGATGCGGACAAACATGGCACATGACGGATCCTGTCAATATGTCATGTACTGTTGTGTCTCGTGTACATGGGAGGGCAAGCGGCTGGGCCTGCCAGTCAGCGCCGGAATACGTGCATGTGCACATGTGCACGCAAAGCAAACGGCTGTGCATCAGAGCGCGCAAGACCAGGGCACCTTCCCCCCCCTACTTTTTGCTTGCCTTCAGCGGGCGCCCTCCGTCACAAGAACGAAAAATCCGGTCACCAGCGACATCGCACATGTGTCAGAAGGGCTTACAAAACAAGGGGGTCGCCTGTGAGGTGCCTGAAGATATTCGTGAATGCACCAGTTGGATGTTCAACCACTTTGATTGGTATGTTTGTTTAAACCATGGTTGTATGATCAGCCAACAGGGGTTTCCCCGCTTGCCTGCTTTAAAGTGGGAGTTCCTCAAAATGGAAACCAAAAGGAACCCAACCATTTTGGGACAGCCCTACTTTGAGACACCTCCGAATAGGAAAAAGGACACCATAAATGCCGCGCGGCGGAACAACGGCCACCAGGTCAGTTCGATGGGCGTCTTTGCGACGTAGCCTGGTTGCGCCGCAGGCACTCAGAAGTCGCAGTCCTCTGAAGAGATACGATAGATGGCATGTAAAGACCTGTGACAAATAATATTTGGAATGGCGTTGTGTACATCAAAACGACATTCAGCCACGATGCAAGGGAACAAGGCAGGGAATTGTTTGGCCCCTCGAAATATGAGGCCTCCCGAACGAGAATCAAACGGGCGGCTGCACCTATTCATGGCTGCGGCTGTTCCTTACTAATCATCCAATTTCTGGGTTTGATTGTCATGGCTTGCGGTCAAAACGGCTTTGATCAAATCATGAGCGCTTTCTGTTCCTCCCGCGACAAGGGTCCATAAGGATCATACGAAATCCGTCTTTGACGCGCCTACACATTTCAACCTGTGGGCAGAACTCAAAATGCGGGCAGCTCATTTTCCGGGCCCAAACAGTGTTGCAGGCCTTAACAGTGTTGCTTTGGCGCTTTGGCTCACCCGCTAGTAGAGGCTGTTTAGTGCTTGCCACATGCAGAGCTTAAGCTTAGAGACGAAATCAACTAGGTTCGTTGAGTGCAAGGCCGGCCTTTACAAATAGCTCTGGAAAAGCCAGCCAATATCCATGGCTTAACATTTAAACTTTGCAGCCTGCGCACCTACAATGGGGTCAACCAAAACCAACTTGCTCACAGCAGTAGCAGCAGCAGCAGCAGTAGCAGCAGCAGCTGTTGGATCAGTGGACGCCAAAAGCTGAATGAGCCAGGGAGCCACAAAGGCCTATAACAAAGAGCACGTTGAACACTGCCGACCCGATGATGGTTCCAAAGCCCACGTCGTTCTGCGCCTCGTGCACTCGCCGGCTTGTCTCAGAATGAAAGATTGTGGGACACTTTTTATTTAAAAAAAAAAAAAAAAAAAAACTGCGGCCAAAACGGAGACCCTGCCAGCCACTAGCATGGAACTGACAAAGGACAGTTTAAACAAAACTTGATCACCTTGCTGTGACACCAACGTGGGCTGTGGCTATGACTGAATTGTCACTCTAAAAGAGCAAAATTGGCCGAGAACCCTCTTTGATGGTTTTCGCTGCCCCCAACACTAGCCCCAAACCCTCGCTTCCCACGACTACGATGGAGAGCTACCCGCAACAAACAACTCTCTTGCTTGCTGTGGTCCACACTGGTGCATGACTAAAACCAGCAGTGCAAACAGTTCTCAACCAAACCGGCCTAACGAGAACAGTGTGCTGTTGAGCGCTGACTAAGGTGCGATGGTTGCGCCCACCAGCGAGGTGAAGAGTTCTGGGGCAGAGCCGCCTGCCTGGGCAAAGAACGGCTCTTGCAACGAACCCTTTGATT